GTAGCCCGACTCTGGCATCTGCAAAAAGTTACAATAGTACCGATAGTATTGTCTACAACAGGAGTAATACCGAAACAACTTCACCAGTCCCTTAATTCCCTCAACTTACCTACAAATACCTATCATCTGCTGCAGAAGGCCGCGATACTAAACACATGTAGACTTGTTAGAAAGTTTCTGCAATGTGAACCAGAAAACCCAGATCAAAACACAAATACGCCACCATTTTCTGTGCAATCTTCTACACGTGACTGTATTTAATCCAACTGATAATCACTTGGCTTAGGCCCGTGTTATCAGCTCTTCCCGGCTTGCCGAGAATATAAAATCAATTTAATAAATAATAATAATAATAATAATCTTTATTAAAACTTATATAGGTTACAAACAAATTGTTGCACTGATTCCTAAACTAGGATTAATCCTGTATCTTAGGATATCAGTACCTTCCCATACAATTTTACAATATTAAAATTTAACGCAGACTTTTATAACACAATTTTTTTAAATAAAACTAAGTTATTCCTCTTCTACCGAGTGTGTGTGTGTGTGTGTGTGGGTGTGTGTGGGGGGGGGGGGTGAGAGAGAGTGTGTGTGTGTGTGTGCGCACGTTACCTTTAGCTTATACGTTAATTATAATACAGTGGACGATATGAATGACAAGCTCGTGAAAACTGTCCAAATGGTCGGAGCTAAGTTCTTCAAGACCCGCCGCAGAAGAACCTCTTCGATCACACTTTCAATCTCATGGCTGTTAGACGGGAAATGAAGCTGCAGTCTTCAATAGATTTGACAGCATACAGGCAACTGAACAGACAGATATCCAAATGCTTGCGGCGGACTTTAATACAGCTCGTATTGAAGAAGCGATCGAGTGGAATCAAGGCTCCAAAGTCTTTGCCAGAAAGAGCCAACTGTCAAACCTGAAGACCGAGTGTGGCAGCATCGTTTCCGAGACACCTGAAATTTTGAGTGAGATTGAGAGGTTCTATGGGCAGCTGTACACGTTATCGTTGGAGCTACACGCAAGTGTGAGTAATGATCAAAGAGCAAGTCTTATCCGAACTATTTCGATGATATCCCGGACGTCAGTCGGAGCGAGATCGGAATGGCTCTCCAGCGTCTTAAAAACGGCAAGTCTCCGGGCGAGGATGAAATTACAGCGGAGTTTCTGAAAACGGGTGGGAAACCGGTAATTGAAGTCCTTCAGAAGCTCTTTAATTCCGTTTAAACATGGTGGGCCTATTCCGGAGGCGTGGAGCAGAAGTGTGGTGATCTTGTTCTCCAAGAAAGGTCACAGCACTCACTGTGACCTTTCTTCACTGCTGGCCATATGAGGACGCTCAGTGTCGCTCAGCGAGCTATGGAGAGGGCTATGCTTGGGCTTTCTTTGCGTGATAAACTTAGTAATGGAGGAATGAGGATATCCGCAGTAGAACCATAGTGACCGACATAGCCCAACGGATTAGTAAGCTGAAGTGGCAATGGGCTGGCCATATAGCTCGAAAAATCGACAACCGATGGGGAAAAAATGTCCTCGAGTGGCAGCCTGGTACTGGTAGGTGAAGTGTAGGGCGACCCCCACTAGATGGAGTGACGACCTGGTTAGATATGCAGGCAGTTGATGGGTAGAGGTGGCTCAGGACCGTGCTTTGTGGCATTCCTTGGGGGAGGCCATGTTCAGCAGTGGAGTTGTGAAAGCCTGTAATGATGATTATGATGAATTAATAGGCACTTTATCTTCACGTGCCCTTCATACCTCAAAGGTTTAATCGAATTCAGGAAGGTTGATGAAGGAACAATATGATTGCGCTAATATTGCATATTATACCATATTGTTTGCGCTATAATATATTGTAATATAATAGTATATATTTTATATCTTACAAATTATAATAGAAACGATGAAACAAATCTTGTAGATTATGCGTTATGTAGATACAGAAATGTTTATTCATTATCAATTCCGTCAATTTCAAAATTCTAAAATAGAGACTAATAATATGTATGGTATGATATAAGTATGAAAAGTAAATATAGGTATGAATTCAAGATTGGTTATTTCAAGGTATTAAACGATGCCATAGTAAAAGTATTTCGGCTTCACAGCCTGCCGTAGAAATTCATAACTTTATTAGCAATTCCTCTACACAAATATTTCCCTTTTTTCGGAGCAAATTTACAATTATTATTGTAATGTACCAGTGGTTAAAAGAATTCCTAGAGGTGCCAGGATGCAGCTTGCTAAAGCATTGTCATGCACTATTCAAAATTGTTTCACTAATAGTGAAAATAGTTGGCAAAAATTATTTACTTTCGCGTATTCCCATTTTTATTTTGATAAAACAATAAATAAATCAATTACGTCTCAACTAAAAGAGACATCTTTTCAAAATTTAGATTACCTAATTAATACTCATTTATCTCGACCACGTCCTAAATTTGATTAAAAAAAAGTAGTCGAGTCGAAAGTAATGGATGGCGACTTAAAAAATGCATCCCGTATTTTATTCTCAGACGACATCCTGGCTCCTCGTAATATCGAAACTCTTGAAAGCCTTCGTCAAAAGCATCCTTCGGTCAAACCGTCTCAGGGTTTACCGCTGCCTCTCAAGACTTCTATGCAACCTTTACAAATTTCGGAAAAAGACACTTTAGAAGCAATTATGTCATTTTCGAATGGCTCTGCTGGCGGCGTTGACGGAAATACGCCTCAACATCTTAAAGATCTTGTAAGCGCTTCTGCCGGTGACGCCGGCGGAGTACTTCTTAAAGACATTACAAAATTATGGAACTTTATGCTTTCTGGTAATGTTAATCCAAATTTCATTCAAGATTATGTGCCTTCAAAAAAAAGGATAACGGTATCCGTCCTATTGTCGTTGGTTCCACATTTCGACGCTTAACTTCAAAATTAGCTTGCAGGTACATAATCTCTAACCTTAAGACCAAATTTCAGCCTATTCAACTAGGTTTTGTCACTAGAGGTGGCTGTGAGGCGGCGGTACATTCAGTGCGTACATTTTTAACAAATTCTGATGCAGATGTTCTTGTGAAGGTTGACCTAAGGAATGCTTTTAACTCTATCGATAGGGTAACCTTGCTGAAAGAAGTGGCTAACAATACCCCCGAAATTTATCATTACGTTTGGCAATGTTATAGTCAAAATACTAACTTGTTTTACGAAAACCATGTTATCGATTCTGCTGTTAGTGTTCAGCAGGGTGACCCACTGGGTCCAGCACTTTTCAGTTTGGGAATTAAACCCATTATTTCAAATTTGAAATTCAAGTTGAATGTCTGGTACCTAGACGACGGTACACTGCACTGGGAGGTAGAGCAGATGACGTCCTCAGCGATCTTACTCATATTTTTCGAAATTTTAAAAATATTGGCCTTGAACCAAATAGCAATAAATGTGAAATATTTTTTTCCAATAATTTATCTACTTCTCATAAAGACACTTTAATTCAAAATTTTAATCATATTTGTCCAGGAATAAAAACTGTCAATACGAAATCACTATACCTGCTAGGTGCCCCGTTGTTTTTCGATAGTATTAAACCTGTTTTAAAAACAAAATTTGATCAGTTTTTAAACCACGTTGATAAATTGTATAAATTAAACCCCCACATAGCTCTTACTATTTTAAAATGTTGTCTTCTTGTACCTAGATTTACATACTTACTCCGCTCGAGTCCAGTCTGGAAATGTTCGGATATTTTACAAGATATTGATAATAATCTTAAAATAGCTATAGAAAAAATTCTAAATTTAACTTTAAATACAACAACCTGGACTCAAGCTATTTTACCTATAAAATATGGTGGCATTGGTGTGAAAAATCTTTCTTTTCTTATTGACACTATGTGACTTATGTAACATAATTTTAAATAATAAAGTAGACTTATGCTTTGCTACGGAGGCAGGGCAGACATGGCAAACGCTCTGTCCAGGTGAAAATATTCCACTGGAAGTTAATCAACAAAAACAGTGGGATATTCCGTTGGTACAGGGCGTGCAGAAGGATTTGTTTCATAATTTCCATAGTGACTAAGATAAGGCACGCCTTCTAGCTGTTTCGACTAAGGAATCTAGTCACTGGTCACACGCTTTACCATCAAGTAATCTCTGCACATTACTTGATAGGAAAAGCTTGCGCATTGCCGTAGGAATCCGACTAGGAGTGGCGATTTGTCAACCCCATCAGTGCCCCTGTGGTAGCAGCGTCGACAAGTTTGGGCTCAACGGACTTTCATGTAAGAAAAGCGCTGGTAGGTTTTCACGACACATTTCTTTGAACGATGTCATCCGAAGGGCTCTTGCCTCTATAAATGTTCCCTCGGTTTTAGAGCCTTGTGGAATATTTAGAGACGATGGCAAGAGACCCGACGGTATGACATTGTTCCCTTGGGAGAGAGGTAAAGCCCTAGTGTGGGATGCTACTTGCGTAGACACTCTGGCGGCCTCTCATCTCAGGGGTACCTCGTTTAAAGCCGGGGCGGCATCAGAGGCAGCTGAACTGAGTAAGTGGCGCAAATATGAGTCTCTGAGAGATGACTACATATTTGTGCCATTTGCTGTAGAGACTATCGGTCCGTGGGGTCCACGTGCGGTGAAGTTCCTAAAGGAACTCCATCCGCGGCTGATCGTTGCTGCTGGTGATAAGAAGGCTGGTTCTTTCCTCGCTCAAAGGCTAAGTATAGCCATTCAGCGGGAAAACGCAGCCAACGTTCTTGGCACGATACCGCGGGGAGTAGGACTATATGATAATTAAGTTTCTAGTTTTAGTTTTTTTTTTATTATCATAGTTTTTGATATTGTAGATAAAATTAAGTATTATGTAGAATTTTTAAAAAAAATTCTACATAATATTTAAAAAAAATTTCTACATCAAATTTTTAAAATCTTAATAAATATCTAAGTTCAATATTCAAGATGAAGCATTAATATTATGAGTATTTACAGTAAAAAATAATTACAATATTATTCCTTTACAGAAATGTCTTACCGTCTGTGGAGCCAGGTCAGTTAATTAGACAAATGTCGGAAGACGCCCCAGAGCAACCGGGAGACTGGAAAGATGTTTTGAAGGATTTCAATGAACTGATTTTACCCGGTGTAAGTAAAATAAAATAAGTATCTTTCACAACAATGATTTAACTGATCATAAAAACACTGTGTATTAAGACTAAAGTTTATTATTATTATACATAAACTCAATCACAGCTGGGAGAATTAGCGTGCAGACTGTCAATCCAAGTATTAAATGATGGTCCCATAAATATGTCTGCAATTGTCCGATTTTTATTAAAATATTTACTTTAAATTTAGTACTATATTATATTGTATACATATTCTACATTTTAAAAGTCACAGATACGATCCGAAAACATTCAATGCCTAAATCAAATATCATATTTACATACATACTTAATATACCTTACTTGAATATCTGATAAAATACACATAATAATTAATCGCAAAATTTGTTAAATTGCTTGTATTAAATTGCCCCCTTTAAGCTTTTTATATTTATCTACCACTTTTAGATTACTCACTGGCAGTCTCCGCAATTTCATGCTTATTATCCAACTGGAGTTTCCTATGCAAGCATTATTGGCAATTTGCTGAGTGATGGAATTGGCATTGTTGGATTTACTTGGGTAAGTGTTTCAATATTTATATTATATTTTGCAAGATTTCAAAATAATTTATACGGCCTAATACCTGCGTGATTTAAGAATCCAATTTTTTAATGCAACATGAGAAGTGACTGTCTTTATTTATTTAATACATTATCAGAAATACACAAGTTAAATTCTTTGACTCAAATAGCTCTTATCATTATCTATGAATTTTTTGTTTCCTATTACTTGCTAGCTTGAAGTTATTATAATGCCATTCGAATTGGAATTCTAAATCCAAATTAATTTCCCATGAAAACTATGGTAGAGATGTGAGATACTAGCCACTTTTCTCGACAAATTCGTATATCACTTGTATACGGGATATCCTGCTGAATAACAGACGAGCTTCTGATGACTGACTGATGACCAACTGATGATAGAAATATTCATTTAATAACGCTGTATGGCAAAATCTAAATATCGCAGAATGGTAATGGGGAGCAAAAAATACCAGTTCGAAGTTATTGACTCTGCGCTCACCAACCCACCTGTCGAGCGTAGTGAATGTGGACCAATCTTTGAATTTTTTTTTTATAGGATAAGGGTGACAAACGAGCTCACAGTCCACCTGATGGTAAGTGGTTGCTGCATCCCATAGACATCTACATCTATCCTCTATTACAAATCAAAATGTAGATGCGTTGTCACCCGTGAGGACTAAGATGAAATGCCTCATTTCCAGTAACAAGGGCCTCCGGCCACCTACACTCACCAAGCGAAACGCAGAGGTAAACCTCTACTTCACGCTGGTTTTCTGTAAGGTCATGACCTTACTACCTACCATGGTACCACCACGGTTCGAGCCGGCCCATCCGTGCGACAGCAAAAGCTGCCGCGTGGCTCTACCACTGTTAAAAATTGAATTGAATTTAAAAAGACCATTCGTGTGTATGAAGTATAGCTATGATATTGCTCTAATAAACAAGTTTTTCATTCGGTTTCCCGCCATGTTTCTAATATTTTTGTAACACATGTTTTTATCAAATATAAGTCCCTAATGCCACTAATAAACACAGCTCGCAAGATACTGCAAATAAACGCACATTCCATTTTTGTTTTGATTGTTCTGAAAATTTGACTCCAATAACGAATCTTGTGAACGTTTGAAGGCTAAATTCGATAATAGAAAATTGAAAATAAAGTAAAACGGATTAACCGCAAACCACGTCTCAATTAGCAGCAATGTAAGTGAGAAAAGTGCCAAATTGGAAAAGATAAAGGAAATCAAAAAGTACGTTACCTAATACGGTAACGTAACCACTTTTTGAGAAAGATTTTTACAGAAAGACAACAGCAAATTCACATCTCAACTTTCTTAATTCGTTAAATTGATACACAAAAGCTAGGATTCTGAATTGGCTTGTATCATTTGATGAAAAATAGATCATGTATGATAGTCGGAAACTTTTGTTACAATGGTTGGACTCGAAGGTTGCAGCCAAACTAATTGATTTAATAAGGTACTTTTTGCATTGAACCAGTGCCGTTCTTATTTATCACTGGGCTGCGGTTATCTGGTGTATCTTTAACCAGTGATACATGCAGTGAACAAACACAAACATCCCTTTAACAACAACGTTTTTAAGTAACGCTGGGCATAGCCTTTTCCCAGAAATCTCCAGCTGGCATACAGTACCGGCATACAGTAGAAATTAGAAATAAGCTGTTTTAGGGTGACAAACGAGTACACAGTCCACCTGATGGTAAGTGATTGCTGTGACCCATAGACATCTACATCTATCCTCAATAAAGAGTCAAAATGCAGACGTATTGTCACCCGTGATGAATAAGATGGAATGCTTCTTTTCCAGTAAAAAAGGTCACCGGTTTTCTACACTCACCATATAAAACACAGCATTGTTAAGCTAATATTTTATGCTGATATTCTGTGATAGCTTGGTCCTTCCCTGGTCGAGCCAACCCAATCGTGCATACATACTGCAGGCAAGTTGGTGAGCGTAACACCAATATCCTCGCTTCGATTATACTGTTCGCCATTACTAGCTTGTGGGGTTTGGTTCAGATTATTTAAAAGAAATCGTCAGAGCATCCATTGTTGATTATAAAGGTGTATATTGTACACGTGAAATTGACATTTGGAGAGGAAGTTGTTACATCCCCTTACTCTAAGTAAACATCGTCATACTCTTTTACAGATTGCAAGCCCTGCATGTACTGAACTGGAAGTAGTAACAATGAATTGGCTAGGCAAATTACTTGGTTTACCAGAAGAATTTCTAAACTGTTCAGCAGGACCTGGCGGTGGAATCATACAGGTATCTTGTTCTTTAGCTTAATACATTTATCTGTAAAACAATAACCTTCCGTTTATTTTTCATAACTTGGAAACTTTAAAATCTCCTTCTTTACTCTACCAAAGCTATATGTTGAAGTAGTCGCAGGTAAAGTTGACTACAAATTAAGGTTCTATAAATCATCGAAGACGATAAAGCAATTTCACCACCAGGTCAAATAAAATTTATATTTAATCTAAAACCACAGTAGTTTGCAAACTTTGATAGTAAATGTGGTTCCTCTTATCTAAAGCAAGCAAAATTATGCTTTAAAATACCGGGTAAAAGTATTTCAACCACATTGAAGAAGGTCCTTGTAATTGCATCTGATTTAATAGGCCACACGTCCTCGTAACAGAACACAGTTTCTTTATAAGGAGGATTCGATCATCAGTATCATCATTACAGCCCTTCTCAAGTTCACTGCTGAACAAAGGCATTCCCCGAAGAATGCAATAAAACAGGGTCCTCAGAAGACACCTGCCTCAATCTGTCCAACACTTTGCTTACTAGTATGAGAGAACTTTTAGCAGGAAAGAAATTTTGGAGGTTTGAAGGATGATTCCATATTTCAATAAAAAGTTGGATTTGCATTTTGGCTCTCATGATCGTCAAGGTACCTCATGAACTGGCAGTTAATAATGGACTCCATTATTTTGGAGAATAAGGAGCTGATGCCGGAAGGCGGCCAGATTATATTCGGACGGAAAGATAGACGCCGGCAAATTATTCCACTCCTTTGATGTACGCATTACAAAAGACGAAGCAAGCCTTTTGGTTCTAATGCGTGGAATATCGACAACAAAGGGGTGAAGATCCGCCGACCGCCTAGTTGCCTGATGGTGGAAAGGAAAGGGAGGAATTAAAGCGTGTAATTCCCGCGCACATTCACCGAAATGCATACTATAGAATATCGAGAGACTGGCTACTCTACGCCTGTGCTCGAGGCTGACAAGGTTGGTTTCAACCAAATCAAGGTCACCAATAAGCCTCTTAGCACGTTCCCGCACTGAGTCCAACGCTGCCAGGTTGCATTTTGCAACACCAGCCCATATGTGACAGTAGTAATCCTAGCACGACCGGACTTGCGCTTTACATAAGGTAAGGCAGCACACTGGCCAGCTTCAAAGGTTTGGGCACTATTCCAGTCCTGAGTTAGAGTTGGAACAAGCGTGTCAGCACAGGAGACAACTCAGGTGCACAGACCTTTATAACTGTAGCTGGTATATCATCAGCTCCACTAGTTTTGTTCACGTCTAGACTTCGCAAGGTTTTAAGAACCTCCTTGTTGGGATACGGACCTCTGACATAGATGTACCGCAGTGAATTAATTAAGATGGTACGCTGTTGCTACTGTCCAGATGCAAATTGCAAGCAAAAAAAGAAGCAAATAAGTCCGCTCTCTCCTTAGGCGCATGTGCCAGTGAGCCATCTGGTTTTACCAGCGGAGGCAGTGTAGACCAACAGAAGTTTGTCTCGACCACTTTGACGAGAGACCAAAGAGCTCTACTGCCAGATAGTTTGACAGATAGCTTTGCACCGATGCGTTTAATGCGGTCGAAACTGGCTTGGCGTAATGCCTTTTTACAGGACTTGGCGGCTTGGTTAAAGGCACCTTTCTTAACGCTAACATCCGGAACTTTGCGGTCTCAAGCATCGGTCCAGGATGAGTAAGCCATATGCTTTCAGCACGAGCGCACTCGGCGTTGAACCATGGCTGAGCTTTACCACCAATGGGCACGTCAGCAAAGGGGATGAAATACTCCATTGCTTGACGCATCACATCGGTTATGGAATCCGCGAAACTCGACGAGTCTTCAGACGAGAAGTAGACCTGCCGCCAAGGATAAGATGCAAAGAAATGCCGCATCTCATCCCAATCTGCTGACTTGTATCGCCACACTCGCCACACACCGTGGAAATCGTAGTTAGGTGGGAAATATAGAGACACAGATTTCACTAGACAGTGGTCAGAAGTTCCCAAGGGTGAGGTAACCTGAACATTGTACCTGCCTGGATCGGTCGTCAGCAGAAGGTCGAGGCAGTTGGCTGTGTGCCTGTCCATATCAGGTACCCTAGTCGCTTGTTGTACCAGCTGGAAGAACCCCCGCGACAAGGCAAAATTCCACGCCTCTCTCCCAGCGTGGTCGGTCTTCTGGTATAGGAACAGCCAGTGCTGATGTCAGTCATTAAAGTCTCCCAGAAAAACTAACTGGGCATTAGGGTACCGATTTAGAGCCACATCAGAGGCTTCACTGAGGTGTTCAAATAGCTTAGTTCTCTCCTAGTCACCGCTATGCGATCGGTATACACAAGAATAAATAATTTTATCCATATCTGTGACTAACAATACCCAGATCATAGAATAGGCGGGGTGACGGAGACGCTTACAGCAGATGTCATTGCGGACGTAAACACAGACTCCGGCGCGCTGATGGAAATTATGCTTCAATGTATACCCAGGGTAGCCAAGGTACGCCGCATCTAGAGGACATAAGTGCGGCTTGTCAGTCTCAAGGTGGTATTGGACTACATTGAGATTACAGTGCAGGCCTCGGATGTTTGTGAGGTGCACTTTGATGGAGAGGGAGTGCAACCGGTGTACAAATTTACTCTTCTTTTTCCTGTTTTTCATAAATGGTGGGAGTGAATAGGTTGAGAGAATGGCAGTTGGACAAGGCGTCACACATATAACCTAGGGATGCAAACAGTGTCACAGCATCGATGGTACCTAGCATGGAGATCGCAGGAACGCCCGAATACCCCTGGAAATCGCCACCAGGTTCTCCCCTCCGGTCGCCAACCGGCATGGTGTAGCCATCCCAGGATTTTTCGTAAGATGACGGGGCAGCCTTTCATGAGGGGCTCTCTCACTAATTGGGCCCCAAACTATCTACGGTCGGCCAGCGGTGCAACCGTGCTTAGGATCCCGCTAACCTCCATAACCAGGCACCGGACACTAAGAAACGGCCGCGTCGCAACCGGTTCATATGCGCAACGCAACTGTCTAGACCCATTCTCCCTAAGAAATGGGTTTCACCTAACATCATACCGAAATACAATTTGCATCATTTGGCGGTATGTCTTTGCCAGGTGGGTGGTAACTAACCCTCGGCCGGGCCTCTCACTAGCAGAGGACCAATCTACCACCAGTATGTAGTACTGCTCATTTAGCACTACCTAGGGGATACGTGTAGGAAATCAGGATTCAAGTAATTCCTACGGACGCGAGCGACTTCATTCCCCAATTCTCTCAAGTCTCGGATTGGGGGTGACTAAATCTAGTCGAGTCCAATCCCTAGAAGACACAAGTTTGCGCGTTTACCACTAAAAATAATCTCTTTGTCGTATCTCCTCAGTTTCAAGGCAATCCCCTTGCTGCCTCAGCTAGCATCGTAATCCTCGGCATCGACATATCGAATAATGTGCAGTTTCGTGGTCACTTGGAAGGGAAGGTCAAATTGGCCTCTAAAAAGCTTGGCGTGCTCAGCAGAGCGAGACAGTATTTCATGCCGCCACATCGCTTGCAACTTTACAAAGCGCAAGTTCGGCCTCACATGGAATACTGTTCTCATCTCTGGGCCGGGGTACCCCAGTGCCAGCTCCTTCCACTTGACCGCATCCAGCGTAGAGCGATTCGAACCGTTGACAATCTAGTTCTTTCTCATCGGCTCGATACACTGGCGCTGCGTAGGGATGTTGCATCCTTTTGTATTTTCTATCAAATCTACCACGGGCAATGCTCTGAGGAATTGTTCAGATTAATTTCAGCCGCCAAATTTCACGAACGCACATCGCGTCAAAATTCACCATCTGGATGCTTGGTGATCTACCACTGTGCTTTTACTAGGAGTTTTCTTCCTCGTACAGCTTTTCTGTGGAACTGTTTACCACCACGATTTTTCCGGACGGATAAGACTTCGGGACCTTCAAGAAAAGAGCTTACACCTTTCTAAAAGGCCGGCAACGCAACTGCAATTCCCCTGGTGTTGCGGTCGTTCATGGGCGGCGGTAGTCACTTACCATCAGGTGAGCCGCATGCTCGTTTGCCCCCTCTTCTATAAAAAAACCCTTTAATTAATAAAATTAAATCCTATCCCAATCATATCACCACAAGATCTTATGATACAGTAATGGAGTCTGTATACATCGAACCAAAAATATTAAATAACGACTGAAGGTAGTCCAGGTTAATTATAGCATCAGAACATCAAACACCAGTAAACATAGGTTAGTTTGATAAGTTAAAATAAATGGGATAAATTGCGTAGTATTCACGTAAATAAATCCATTTCCTTTTTTTCTATCTCGATCCCTTTAATTCCACTGCAAAATATTCTATTGTCTTTCATTAAAAATCAACAATTTATTTCGGTTTCCAGGGTTCCGCTAGTGAAGCTACGCTGGTGGGACTTTTAGCAGCTAAAGACAGAATGATCCGAAAACTCACTGAAGTAGATCCTAACCTCGATCCTGATGACGTACATAACAAGCTTATCGCATACACATCAGACCAATGTAATTCTTCAGTTGAAAAGGCTGGAGTACTTGGATCAATAAAAATGCGGTTATTGAAATCAGACGCATTCGGTAAATTACGTGGAGAAACATTGAAAAAAGCATTCGATGAGGACAAAGCTAACGGACTTATACCGTGCTATGTTGTAGCAAACTTAGGTACTACTGGAACATGTGCGTTTGATCCTCTATATGAACTAGGCCCAATATGTAATGAACATAACGTATGGCTACACGTTGACGCTGCATACGCTGGAAGTGCTTTCATTTGCCCCGAGTACCGAGGTTTTATGAGAGGCGTAGAATATGCTGATTCTTTTGATACAAATGCACACAAGTGGCTACTTGTTAACTTTGATTGTTCAACTATGTGGGTTAAGAACGGGTATGATTTAATTAATGCCTTTGATGTGCAAAGAATTTATTTAGATGACGTTAAGACGCGCTTAAAAATCCCCGACTACAGACATTGGCAGATGCCACTAGGAAGAAGATTTAGATCACTAAAATTATGGACCGTATTCAAAACTTATGGTGCAGAAGGCATAAGAAGTCATATTAGAAATCAGATAAGTCTGGCTCAATACTTTGCGAAACTAGTTCAGTCTGATGATAGATTTCTTATTGAACCTGAACCAGCATTGGGATTAGTATGCTTTAGACTTAAAAATGGAGATAATTTAACAAAGAAATTGCTTGAAAATTTGACAGCAAAGAAGGAGGTATTCATGGTAGCTGCAAGTTATCGTGGACGTTATATTATTCGTTGGGTAATTTGTTCACGACTTACAACTAAGGAGGATATTGATTTTAGCTGGAAAAAAATTAAGGAGGAAACTGACTTGATTTGTTTGGAAAAAGTACACAATAAATCTAAAATATCAAATATTGGTAGCATTGAAACTTTGAACGTCTGTGAAGAAAAAACTAAATAACCATCCGAAGGAAAATATCTTAATTTCAATATTATCACAAACAACTTAGCGCTTGATTTTTTTGGTAAATCACTCGATAACATATTTTAAAATGGATGAAGATTTATGTAAAAGATTATATTCGATCCATTTTATGTAATAAGTAAATACCTAATGACGTATTTTAGCTTAGCTCAGAAATTAATAATAACTAATATAATGATTAAATGTGTTAATTGTTATCAATTAACACATTTACTAATGACATTGAATACAAAATATTAAATGTTCACACTGGAATTGGGTAGGTCATTTTAATTCGACTGATAAGATATTGTAAAATAAACATAAACACTTATGATAGTTAAAACAGATACCATTAGATGTTAATTACTTAGATTTTAAGTTAATTTTAATTAGTTAAAATATAAATGTCCTTAATGAGACACATAAATAAAACTCAGAAAAAAATTTAATCTTTTATTTATTTAATATCACATTGATACAAAAAATATAATTTAACACCCAAAAATTAAATTATATTCCAATTTTCATTTAGTTATATCACAAAATTATAATGTTATATTTATTTGTGTTGTTTTCATTATTTCGTTAAAATTTATTTAAAATGAGATTTTGACTCGTATTACATGATATAAAAATCTTATTGAGTAAATAAAAATTATTCACAACTAAATACAACTACAAGTATTACTAACACATATACCATATGTATATCCTTTAGGTAGACAGTGCTGTTGGCATACTAAATCTTCAGTAGGTTCTTCATATTGGCAGAATATCCTTCCAGGAATTTTGTACTCTGAAAAAGGATTACGTAGTTAGTCATTGTTTTAAAACCAAGAAAACTTAATAATTGACGAAATTTCACAAGCTGAACCAAGCTACTATATTTGATATTTAGTATCGATTTACTGGCACAATACGTGGCGGTATCGTATGGTATCCCGGAAATATCACATCCAAAATAAAATGAATATTTAGTCATACATATGTATAATAATTTAAAATTAAAAATTTTGTACAGCCGTCTTCAATATAAGTTATTAAGAATAACTCAAATAACTCAAAAACTGTTGGTCTGACCTTGATCAAATTCATATGAGACCACACGAGAAGTATCAGCTTTCATATAAAAAAAGAATCATCGAAATCCGTCCACCTAGTAAAGTTATGAGGTAACACACATAACAAGAAAACATACGCGTCGAATTGAGTACCGTCTCCTATTTGGAAGTCGGCAGAAAAAAGATAAAGTGGATTAGCACCTTTTGTAATTTAAATCTTCTTAAGATTATAACAATAACCACAATTTATGTCATACTTATTTGATTGAAGTACATTACGATACGATGTATCAACACAAAGCAAAATATCGGACGTAACCTTGTAGCGCCTCACCTCACAGAGTTTAACTAGGTAATTAAGTAATATTTAAGTTTAAGTGACGCATAGATGAGTATGCAATTTCTATCGGTCACTTTCTTAGCGTACATAGTTTATAGTTAGTAGAATTTTTCAGTAAACTTTATATTTGCTATAATTTTGTTTGAATAAATTAAATTATTTAACGCTACGTTAAAATATTAAAAATAACTAAATAACTAGGAGTGAGAACAATGAAATTTCCTCGCACGCTATTACGCTCCTACACAATTAAAGGTTATAAACTTATAACAATAAAAGCTTATAATAGCTTGTTCACTTGCTATTTTTTCATTTCATCGTAAACCTACATAAATAAGTAATAAAACTACGCTTACGTGATTAACAAACAATAAAGATCAATAATACTATAAAAACAAAAGATAAATGTCTAAGCTTAAAGAACAGAACAAAGTTAAAATTTTAAAAAGCAGCAGATATTTTTATTAATTACCAAAATTTTAAGAAATATCTTTTGAATATAGTTGCCTACTTACGTACCTTTCTCAACAGTTACACCAGGCGTCAAATGCTGATCTTTCGTTTCGATTTGATTGTTTAAAACTACTACAGTTTCATGTTTTACAACACTACTGTCCCTTGGTAGAGCATAGCTGTTTTTTAGAAGTAAAGAAACTATAGTAATTAATAATACTAAACAAAAAGTTCTGAACTGCATATTGCTGTTTACAAGCGAACAGTTAAATTAATACTGACGGGCAATAATAATGACCACTGCCTTAAAACAATGACGGACACTTAATGAGAAATGAGAATGCGTTTTCTAAGGTCAATTGAAACAGTCACTTTTTATACTGTATAACGCTGATGCGTCATTCGTTTGTACTCATTAGTAAATCGATAACTAGAATTACGTGTTAAAGTTATTGTTCATAATTAGTTACTCATAAAATGTACTTATATACAGAAAACCGTGCATATAGGCCTTTTAATAAGTTGTAAAAATAGATTAATAATTTAGAATTAAATAACAAGAATTTGATATGACTGAATAGAATTTGCTTTTCGTAAGATAAGAAAAACCCTTTAAAACATTCCACCGACGTAATGCGATCAAAAAGAACATAAACATACATTAACATAAACAGACCCGCCTGTCACTGAGGGGTAGGCAGAGACTACGGCTAAACATAGTGATTATATTCTCTTTGACTACGGCGTTCCATTTGGCACGATTCTGACACACCTCTCTTTACTCCTTTCATCCTCCTACGCATATACATATGCTCGTGGATTCAGAGTACTCTTAATTTGGCCCATCTTTAATATATCGCCAATTTAGTCGATAAAGTTTCGTCTAGGACGTCCCTTGCCGACTTTGCAATTCACTTCTGCAACATAAATTGGTTTTGTCACTCTTCCCTCATTCAGTCTTTCTACATAACCAAACCACCAAAGCATGCCTTTCTTAATCCTGGTCACAACATCATCTTGCAAGCCACACTTGTAAAAGAAAATAAAATACAAACAACTTATCTATTAGAAATTGACCTACAGTGCCAAAAAGTTAAACACAATTTAAAAGAAAGTTACATGGTAACACTACATAGTGACTATTTACATAACAAAAAGACTCATTAACAGAATATATAGGTATATAAGAATATCAATAAAAAATGTAACTCACTTGCAAACCTTATTTAAATTAGTTTTTAATGTCTGTTTTAAGGTATTGGGAGATGTGTTAAAATGGTCGACATTAGTAAATTGCTTATTATATATTTCAGTGGAACGGTATAAGAATGAATTATGAGTATACATTTTATATAACAGCGGAGGAACAAAAAGTGGGATTTTACGCGAGGATCGCACTGGAAGACGAACACGAGCAAAAATGATGCTTTTGAGAGAAGTAGAGTAGAGTCAATTAAATTATTCATAATTTTATATAGAAAGATTATATCAAACAATTTGCGTCTACTGCAAAGGGATAACAATATATACCTAAGCAAAGATTAATCATACGATTCAGTAGTAATGTTATTACGATAGTTAAGTGACCTTAGGAATATCTTTTGTACTCTTTCAATTCTATTGTATATGATAACAGGGACTCCTTACAATACTACAAAAATCTAAGATTGACCGAACAAAGGAAATGTGTAGAGTTTTTAGCGTTATCATTTTATTAAAGGGTTTGCTAATCTTAAGAATAAATCCCAAGCTACGAAATGTATTGCCTAACATATAATCAATGTGTAGATTGAATGACAGTTTTGAAACCATTATTATACCCAGATCTCTAATACTATCTACTCTCTTAATAGTGGTGTCATTCAAGCTATAATCAAATATTATATTGTTGACTTTACGTGTATAAGATATAATGTGATATTTATCAATATCGAGATATAATTGGTTATTTGAACAATAATCACATAGAGAAGTTATGTCTTTTGCAGCTTTACACAGTCATCAACTGTTTCGATAAAGTAAGTACTACACAAGTAATCACTATTTTTAGTGCGAGTCCTATATCATTAATTTATAAAGAAAACAGCAAAGGGCCCAAGTGTGATCCTTGAGGCACGCCTGAAAGTTCGGGGAGATATTGTGAAGAGCATCCCTTTACACAAACTGCTTGAAATCTATTTTTAATATAGGATTGGATCCACCTGAGAAGGCTGCCGCGAATGAAAGCCCTTGTAAGCTTCTCAATAAGTAGGTCGTGATTTAACTTGTCGAAAGCCTTGGAAAAATCTGTGTATATCTACTTGTAAGTTATTATCCATGGCCTTCGAGAAATAATCAATAAAGTTACTATATTGGTATCCACACTACGGTGCTTAAAGAAACCATGTTGTTGTTGACATATGTAGTTACGAACTGAAAACGAAATATAGGATGTGACAATTTTTTCAAGAACCTTTCCCAAAACACAATTCGGAAATCGGTTTATATTCAGTAATTATATCTTTTCTCTTATTTTTGGGAATAGGAGTTATTAAAGATTTTTTCCACTTACTAGGATAAACACCGGTTTCAATAGAAGTTCGAAAAATTATGGTTACAGGTTTTGCGAGTTTTGCGAGTACATTTGGAGGTTAAAATAGGATGAATGTTATCAGACCCTACACCCTTATGAACGTTGACATATTTTAATTCTTTAAGAACAGTATTATAGTCAATATTAACAGAGTTTATGTCTAATGCTGAGAGACGATAAGAGCTAACAGAATGATTTTAGAGAATCATTTTTGAATAAAAACGGAATGAAAATATTCATTGAACGCATCGCAAATCTCACTACCACTAGATAAAAGTTTTTCTGGAATGACATTTGTGGAATTTTTGGATTTTACAAAAGACCAAAAATATTTTGAATGCTCATTAATTTTCTCTTCAGCAATTTCATAAATAGGTCATAAACAAATCGAACTTTAGAAAAGAAAAAAAGAAAAAATTACATGAATTTCTTTTAAAATCAATATTTATTTTTTAAAGTACAAAAGAGAGTATACAAAAATGTTAACTGAGATGAAATTAAAGTATTTGTCAATCTAGAGCACATTTAAGGTATTTTTGTGTCCACCGAAAAGTTTACAAAATCAACAGAAAAGACAATAGTTGTACATTTTGCCAACAAAAGTGTTACATTTCTTCTTAAATATTAATCAAGGACAACAGCAACAGTGTACTTAACTGTATGCCAAAAAACACAAGAAAAAATAAATGAAACTTTGGCATTTAGAAAATAAAATAAAAATGTCCACAGAAAGGAGTTTCTGTGGACTTCAATTGTTTTTGTCTCATATTTAACAAATAAACGGCTTACATACCATTGCTGCACTTAGTTAGTTAGTTATTTGTAGAGTTTTGAAAATCAACGTTAATCTTTAAAATCGGTTGAAATGATATAATTACCAATCTTAGTAAAAAAATCACTATTAGCTTTAAAAATTAGTTTTTGGCTTAATCAAAATACATATTAGAAGATAGATTCGTCTTCTTCGCTGTCTGAATCGGGTATAATTAAACGGCGAGGTCGTTTAGCTGGTGGGGGGCTAAAAATGTTGTCCGAGCTATCAGAATTGTCAGATTCAGTGGTTATTTTCTTTTTTGGACACAAAAGTAAATTTTGTAACTGTACATTATTATCTGGTGTACCTGGCGGACTTTCTGGTGACAACGGTGGATTAGATGACATGGTTACAGTTGAAGCATCAGGTGTAGCTACATTGTAATTTGGTGATGCACTGCCTCTACTTGACTCTGGTGATCTAGAATTTATATTAGATGTATCATATTGAATTTTTATCTGTCCCATTCCAAAATGAATACAATTTTTATCTGCTTCGCATTCTAGGCAACTTAACCTGCTTGCGTGCATTACATTTGGTGTCCATCGACTCCAAATAAGTTGGTGTATTTTGAATGTACCTTTGAAAGGTTTCGTTGTACTCTTATCCAATATACTCTGTATTTTTGGCACTTCAGAATCATCAATTCCGTAAATTTCTATCCCTTTGCAGTTTTCTTTTAAACACTTCATTAGACCATTGTAACTCGAAACATCTTTACCCATTGCAACTGAGTTATCACATAATCTTTTAACGCATCCACCCACCCCATCTGGAGCGCCTTTGCCGTGACCCCTTTCACTATAATACCAAATAATGGTGTTCACTCCTAATTCGTCGCTTATGTAATTCGCAATCAAATGAAACATTGATTTATTCCTGTACTGTGTCGATGATCCGTCACTGAGTATATGTAATTCCGTAATTTCTGGACTTATTTCTTTAATTCTATGCAATACAGGCTGAAGGTGCACACATATAAACACAGGGTCATGTCTCAAATTTTCAGAGATTGTACATATTGATGTTGTCTTTAAATGTCTATCTGGTGACTGAAAATCTGTATTATAGTATACGCACGTATGCAGTGACAACTGCCTTTTTGATCCACCAAAGTGAGCGGATTGAATTTCAGCGCTGTACTTACAGTTGTAATTTTCCGAAAAATCGATATGCAATAAACCTTCAAAAGGAGATAGTTTTTCTTTAAGGGTGTGGATTGTCCTGACCTGATGTATGAAATTACCCACGTGTTTCATGTAAACTGGTAAGTTTGAGTGTAATAACTGTACAAGTGATTTATTTGTCGTTTTTACCGTTTCTTTAATGGACTTTTTGCATATTTTTTCCTTACCTTTTATAATTATCTTTTCATTTTTCGTTATCCATCTTTCATAAGTTATAGAGTCATCTTTATCGTAATTATTGTATTTTATCTGTTTATCTTGGCAATCCTTACATACTCGCTCTAAACATTTTAAATTAAATGTATTCTGACAGCACAATGATTTCGCTACATCGGAAGCAGTGCCATATGATAAAATTTTAGCCTTTTGTAGAGCTCTAACACATAGGTCATTATTTTCATGTATTATGCACAGACACGTATTTCGTGAAGAAACTTTTGGAAAAACCACCCAAAACGGGCGGTATATTCGAAAGGTTTGGTAAGAAATTTGAATGCCGGTTTTATTTTTAAAAACTTTGTGCAAGTTAAGAAGAGTGTCATTGAGCAGTCGTATTTGTTTTTTATTTTTATTTCTAGTAATTGTTTCTTTTTTACCAGACGTGAGGCGACTATATTCGTCTTGTGTTAAAAATTCTTGTATAGCTTGTTTTACATTACGTCTTTGTGTCC